CCAGGGACATCCCAGTGTTAATTTAAATAACTAATATATATATAATAAATATATTATAAAATATATTCTCTCTATATATATTAAAATGTGCAAATGAATGATCCATTCTTTTATGTAATAATGTATACAGAACATATTGGACTTTTATGGGTTTGGACCCTGGCCCTGCCTTGACAACGAAAGGGCTGCAGTAAATGATCACAGCCCAGATTTTAAAGTATTTTTCTGATGGCCTCTGGGTTTGGGGCAGGCCCCAAACTAAAACTTCCACAAAAATCCTCAGTAATTTAGAGAATTAATTTTGTCCAATTATCCTAGAGTCCAGTTTCCCCAGAGGGACGTATCACTGCCCTCTCTTTTTTTGCAAGGTTGCCGTGAAGATTAAATGAAATAATATCCTTAAAGCACTTGAGCGTGATTCTTGGCAACCAACTGGTCCTCAACACGGTTGAGTTTGCTGGCGTGGGACCCGGAAACTCCAGCTGCATGGAGGCCTGGCACCAAGCAGGGGCCCCCATTAACAACCAGACCCCCCCCCAGGCAAAGGACTTATTCCAGATCTGGGTTTAAGTCATGATTCCACCAGTTCAGAGGCAAGTTACATTCGACTGATTCTCAGTAGAGTGACCATAAACAGCACTTTGTAATCAGTAGAACAAGAATGAATATGAGTTATCATCATTATTAGTTATCATTATTATTCCATATGTAATACTTACATATATGTAATAATGGTAATGATTCACCAAATCTATAAATAGGATCAGCAGGGAAGGATCACTAAGCCATGGGTTTAGGCCTGGAACTTTGGGAAAGTCAGTCCTAGGCCTTCAGATTCCCATATCCAGGGACTAGGATGAAAGGGCAGGATCCAAGAAGCAGTGTTTTGAGGCAGCTCCAGGGGTCTCCAGGTCTCCTGTGGCTCCTTCTCAAGCCTGTCCTGGGCTTCATGATGTCCTTTCATTTCCCCTGAGGCCCAGATATCCCAACTGTACCTGTGTGTCTAGGACTATACTCTCCCTATCCTATCTCTGTGTACTATTCCCATACAGACGATCAGTGGCAATTTCCAAGGACTAATTCATGTGACCTAATGTTTCCCAAAATTAACTTCCCAATGACCATAATGGCCATGAAGGAATAAAAGCATTTGTTGTATTTTTTGTAAGACCCATCCGAGCTCCCAAAACGCCTCAATGTACTATGAAACTCTTCAGGAATGCAGTATGTAATGTTCCCCAAAGTTATCTGACGATGGAACCCTTTTCCCAGGACTATCACTCAGGACTAGTGTACTTGGCACACACTTTGGGAAATGCTGCACTAAGCCTCTTGGCTTCCTCCTCCTGTGTGTTTGCTTCTTAAAGGGGCCGGTGTTGTAGCATTTCAGTTAACAAACTACACCCTGAGGTAGCTGCCTGTTTTTGTAAATAAAGTTTTAATGGAACACAGCCTTCTCATTTACTTATATAATTGCTTTCACACAACAAGAGCAAAGTTGAGCCTTGGGACAGAAACCATATCGCTCACAAAGCCTTAAATATTTGGATCGCTCACAAAGCCTCAAATAGTTGGCACTGTCTGGCCCTTTAAAAAGCCTGTGGACCCCTGCTCTAGTGTTGCTCACCTGGGGCCTTGTAACCTCTAGAGAACACACCAGCAGACCAGGAGGGAAGCTATACTACAAAGGCTGACTACAGCATATCTGCCTGGAGGGCCGGTTTCATTCAAAGATAATGTTAAGCACCAACTTTATATTAAAAAAAAAAAAACAAACATGGACAGGGAATTCCCTGGTGGTCCAGTGGTTAGGACTCACTGCTTTCACCGCTGGGGCCAAGATTCCTGGTGGGGAAACTAAGACCCTGCAAGCCATAAGGTGTGGCCAAACCAAAAAAAGGTACATATTACACAGTAGAATGCAAATCTTGCATAGATTTCAAAAATAAAAACTTTAAATTTCTCAGGCCTCTCAGGCTAGCACTGCTTTACCCTCCCTGCTCTTGGCCTCCACCCCAATCCCTCATAGCTGACCAAGATGCTTGCTTCTGTTCCTCAGTTCTAAGGGTTCTTGGGTGGAAAAGTTTGAGAAGTGCTGCTTTGTTAGGAAAACAAAGTAGAAGTGCATGCATCCATATCAGCAAAGAATGAAAGGAGAACTTCTGGACCAGGGGCTTTTAACTTACTTGTGCAGGCAGGTGAGGCAGGCTGTGTGTAAGAGCTTTCTTACCATAACTCACAGAATCAGTGCACCAAGACAGACCTGGGTCAGACAGACCTGGGCTTGGAGCCTAGCTCTCCCATTAACTATCTTTATGACCTTGGGTTAGTCACATTATCTAACTGAGCCTTCATTTTCTCAATGGTAAAATGGTGATTAAAATACGTGCTTCACGAGAAGTCTAAGACATTGTGCAGAGAGTGTTCTGCACAAGTTAGGAACTCAGTAAGTACTAACTCACTACTAACATGTCAGCTAAATTTCCTGAATAAGTAAAGAGCTCAGAAAAATCAAGAAAGAAAAATAGTCAAAAACAATAGAAAAGTAGGCAAAGGGCTTGAATATTTTACAGAACAAACAAACCAGGTCTTCCCTGGTGACTCAGTGGTAAAGAATCTGCCTGCCAATGCAGGAGACATGGATTCGATCCCTGGTGCAGGAAGATCCTACATGCAAGCAACAACGAAGCCTGTGTGCCACAACTATTGAGCTTGTGCTCTAGACCCAAGTAGCATCACTACTGAAGCCCAAGCACCCTAAAGCCTGTGCTCCACAACAAGAGAAGCCACCACAACGAGAAGCCTGCAATCCACAATCAGATTAGCCCCTGCTTGCTGCAACTAGAGAAAGTCTGTGCAACGAGCACCCAGCACAGCCAAAAAATAAGTAAATTACTTAAAAGAGACAAAATGCCTTTAAACTTAAAAAAGATGCAATTTCATTCATAGAGAGGTGAGAACACAACTCAAATGAGACACTATTTTTTCACTTATTAGATGACAAAGATAAAACTTTTTGGTAACACTTCTAGTGAGAGTGGGGAATTATTACTATTGTCAGGCAGTGTGGATGATAATGTAAATGCTTGCAGCCTTTGTGTACAGCCTCAGTAATACCTATCAAAGCTACAAATGCTGGGACTTTCCTGGCAGTCCAGTGGTTAAGACGCTGCATTTCCAAAGCAGGGGGTGAGGCTGGCTTCCTGAACTAAGATCCCACATGCCACATGGCATGGCCAAATAGAAAAAAAAAAAAAAAAAAAAAATATATATATATATATATATATATATACACACACACACACTTATGCTTAGGTATAATTCTACTTCCAGAAAATTTAAACCATAGAAACAGCTGCACATAGTAAATAAATGAACAAGGACTGTGTGTGTGTGTGTATGCGCGTGTGTGTAAGATCTTAGTTCTCTGATCAGGGATAGAACCTGCGTCCCTTGCACTGGAAGCTCAGTCTCAATCACTGGACCGCCAAAGAAGCCCATGTCTTTGTTTGTAATAATAAGGGGCTGAATAACCAAAAATACACACAGTAGGATACTATATAGCAACCAAAAAAAAATAAGCCAGCTCTATGTGTATCGATGTGGAATGAGCTTGGGGCAAATTAGGAAAAAACAAAAGAAAGGGGCAAAACAGGAGAAAGAATCTCTATGTGTATCGATGTGGAATGAGCTTGGGGCAAATTAGGAAAAAACAAAAGAAAGGGGCAAAACAGGAGAAAGAATGCTACTGCTGGTGCAGCTATAGACAAAAGTATGGGCAATATATTCATGTGTGTTCATACACACATCAGCTATCTCTGAAATAATTTTCACATAATCCAACCTGCCCCTATACCTTGTCATGACCCCTCTGACTTATGTCTCTCTCCTCCTCACTCTGCTCCACCCACATTGGCCATTTTGCCTTTCTGGAACACCCCAAGCATCTGCCTGCCTTAGCTGGCAGGAACGCTGTTGTCCAGGATGTCCACAGGGCTCGCTTCTTCCCCTCCTTCAAGCCTCCGCTCAAATCTCCCCTTCCCGGTGAGACCTGCATGGACTACCCCAGTTAAATCACATCCTTCACCCTTTGTTTCCTCTTGCCCTCCTCTACCTTTTCTTTTTTCCAGAGTATGTATCATCCTCCATTCTATTATTCAATCTGCTTCTGTACTGTGTTTATGGTCTACGGTCTGTTTCCCCTCAGGAGAATATAAACTTTACAAAAGGTAAGGGTCTTGGTTTTGTTCAGTGATGAAGACCCAGCATGAATACCTAGCTGGCGCTCAATAAATATTTGCTTTTGAATAAGGGAATGGAAAGATACACAGGCAACTGGCAACAGTTGTTAGAGGAGAACTGAGTTACTGAAGGGAAGGATGGGAAGGAGTACTTTTCAGTGCACACCCCTGTGTACTTTGTACCAGGTGCTTGTATGAATCAGTAAATAAATTTAATGGAAAATTTTAGCTCTGCCAACAGTGTGCTAGAACTGCCAGAAGTGACAGCCAACTCCTTTATCTGACATAGGAAGGTCCAGATGTACAGCAGTTAGGCACTTTGCCCAAGGTTACACAGGCAGGACTTAAACCCACATCTACTAACTCCAAAGCATTAGCTCTTAGTTATCATGCCTGTGAGCCTCTTGGCTTGGTGTTCTAACCAGTCAATCTAATGTGAAAGAAACGCTGAGCTGAGGTGTTCCACATGGGATGGTTTCTGCCTCACATTTCCCATTACAATGAACTCCAAGGGATGGTCTCAGTTCTTTTGATACATGAGACTTTGGCTGTAATGTGCATAATACACATTCAAAATACAGTATTAAGGTCAGTCCCTTGGTAGCTGGAATGCAGGTTTCCTGAACCCTGCCCTCCCAGATATTTCTTCTTTCAAAGCAGTCAAGAGGTCTGGATGAGGTGCTGTGTGTATGGGGGTGACAGAGAGATCCGAGGGCGCTTGGTCCGGCCAAAGAGTAATGGGAGTATTCCCTGGGGCTGTTAAAGGCTGGCTGCTGAGCTTCCTGGACAGGACTGACTGCTGGGAGGCCTTCTTGGCCCGGGTCAGGTGGCGGACCCGCCGCTGCTGCTGCAGCCAGTAGAGCATTTCCACTTTGTCGTGCTTCAGCTTGTCCAGGTAGCGCTGCCCCTTGAAGGTCACCGGCTCGCCAAAGACTAACTCAACCTCCGCCAAGAGGGGAACCAAAGAAGCCTCCACCGTACTGAGCTTCCTTTGGAGATAGCCTCGGATCTGATTCTCCTCCAGGAAGCGACTCAGGCCCACGTTAGTCTTTTGGAAGAAGCGGTTAGGGTCGGAGGCTTGTCGCTCAAACCACTCCAGTCTCCCCAGCAGTATCTCCCGCAGCTGAATGGGCTGTAAGGCCCGCTCCCAGGCACTCACCAGTGCCGGCAACTGCCTCAGGCGGGCATTGGAGCTGTATTTGATGGCCATGTCCAGCTGGTCCTTCTCTGGAACATCAAGCATGGACCAAACCCGCTCCAGACGCTTCTGCAGGCTCAGGATTTTGTGAGAATCTTCCAGGAAGCTGCTCTTACTTCCTAGCCTGTGTTCCAGCACCGTGTCCCAATCCCACTCTCCTGGCACAAAATCTGGTTCGTCGTCTTCTAGCAAGGGGGGTGGGTGTTGGATCTTTATGGACTCTTTGATAGGGGCCACGGTCTCCACAGGATCCTCCTCTTCATACATTTGGAAGATGACATGGAGAAAATCTGTCTCCTGGGTGGTGAGGTACTTAAAGTAGTCACCCACAGACAAAGTGCTTTTCCACCAGTTCAGCCATCTGGCCTTGTTTGACCACCTGTCCCAGCTTTTACTTGCTTGGAGTGATGTGAAGGAGGACACCTTATCTGCATTGGACTGTAAAGCGCTTGCTTTCTGGGAATAAAGTTCAGCCAGCTTGGTGTTGATGATACGATGCTGTTTTTCTTGACGTAGGAAGGCTGAGGACAGGAAGGCTGACCAGTCTTTATTGGTTGTAGGCTCAACCAGGGGCCCCTGGTCAAAACTGAAGTGGTTGTTAGAGACACGGCTCATCAGCTCCGTGTAGACTTCCCTGATGCTACTGCCAAAAGTGCGATCCATATCCATTTGCTCGATAAGTTTGGGTTCCAGTTCACCAGTCAGGTGGTTGTATAGCACTCCGGCCCCCTCAATGTGGAAGGAATCCAAAAAGTTTCTTCCTGAGACCTGTACAGCAGCTATCTGGACCATCTGATTTCTTAGCTTCAAAGTAACAGTCAGTGGTTGTGGTTCAAGCAGAGGGGGTTTAGGGGGTTGGAGGCCCCGATGTTCCAAGGCCTCTTGCTCCTTAAGGCTGTTCAACATTCTCTGCAGCTCTTCTACGTGATGGGTAGCAGCTGGGCGGTGGGTCAGGGCCCCCAGGAGTGGGGGCAGCCCTGAGTCCAGCGGTGGGCACTGAGACCACCCCAACTGCATGTTCTTCATCATCTGCTTCAGGTCCTCAGCCACGGTGTCCCCGGCCAGCTCTGGTTTGCTCTCTGCCACCAGGACCAGTGGGGTTAAGGGGCGAGGGCTGAGCGGAGGAAGGCCCAGCTCATCTGCTAGCCTCCAGCCCTCACGCAGAGAGGGCATGGACTGGCCCCTCTGGAGCTGGGAGTAGAGGGGCAAGTGTGAGGTGGGGGGAGCCCGGCAGGGGGGAGCCACAGAGGACCCAGGCAGTGGTGCAATCTGTGAACTGAAGGTGCTTTCTCTCCTCTTTTGCATGGAGGACAGCCAGCGCAGAGGCTTCTTCTTCTTCAGCTGGGGAATGGACTTCAATTCCTTCATTGGATCCTTTTCAGGCTCACTGGCAAGGTCTCGCGGGCGGCTGAGCTGGATGAGGTAGTTCAGGCTGAGGTTGAAACGCGGCACTTGGGTGAAGCCAGGGATGTGATGCCATGGGACAGAGAAGAGCTTGAAAGCCCCAAGGCCAACGGCGCGCAGTCTGGGCACGGAGACTTGGGCCTGCTCTTCTTTGAGCAGGGCAAGGAAGTCAGAGAGCAGGCTACGGTAGACGTCGGGGCCGGTGAGGAAAACTGTGCAGTCCCTGGCGAGGCTGGCGGCCAAACGGGTAAGCGTGGCTGATTCAGTGAAGACGACTGCGGAGGTCGACATGAGCTTCTGGAGATGCAGGTAGCGTGCGAAGAGCTGCTCGCAGCTGAGCAGCACGTAGATCAGGAGCCGCTTCCGTAGCCTCTGATTGTTCAGGTGACTCATGCCAAATTCGGTGGGGGGCTCCTGCCAGCTGCACTTCAGCTCGTCCAGGATGACCTCGGTGAAACGGAGCCGTACCTTGTGAGGCGCCCGCGCCTCCAGCCCGCTTTTGGTCAGCCGCTCGGCTACCTGGCGGCAGACCAACTGCGCCGTCAGCCGTGGAACCGGTAAAGGCAGTACCATCGGGACCTCCTGCAAGAGGTGCTCCTGAGACGCTGTGCGTGTCGTCCTGCGGGGGAAGAGCGACAACGGACGCAGCAATCGGTGGTAAATCCGCTGGAATTCCGGGTCTGGCTTATGCGGCTCCATCTTAAGACGAGGCGGCGCCGACAGCGCCTGCGGCTCTAGCGGTTACTAAGGCAACGAGGGGCAGGAGGGCCCAAGTGCGCCTGCGTAATCCCTGCCCTCCGTCGCGTGGACGCGGGAAGGCGCAGAGCCTTGCGTGCGCGCGCACCGAAAGGCGGGGCAAAGAGTGGCTTCCGGGGCTCCACCTCCCCTCCCCGCGGCGCCGCTCTGGGCTGGAGCTTCAGATCCGGCCCTCGGGCGATAGTTGGATTCAGGATGGCGTCGGAGTCGGAGGACCGCGGGACTGCCTGCACGGTGAGGGTCGAGGCCTCGTGTGGGAGCCTCGCTGGGCAGAGAACTTCGGCCCCTGGAGAGCGATCGTTAACTTGAGAATGAGGGAAGGAGCGGACACCTGGGTTGGGGCCTGGGGCCAGGGCTGGACTGTGAGAGTAGCAGGGCGCTTGGCATTCATGTTACGGGGTGCTGCTCCTGGAATGGTCGTGAGCGACAGTGAAGAAGGCGCTTGAGGAGGGGTCACAGGGGGCGTTACTCTAGGCCTTTGGGGGTGGTCCTAGGGGAGGTAGTGAAACAGGGTCACGCAAGAAGGTTTCCCAGCTCCTGTCAGCCGGTCCCTGCCACCCTTGCAGCTGGAGTTCGCGGTGCAAATGACCTGTCAGAGCTGCGTGGACGCGGTGCGCACGTCTCTGCAAGGGATCGCAGGTAAGAACCAGATGAACTTTTGTGAGAGCAAACCGGAGACCTCGGGGAGGGGCAGGCAAATCTCTTAGGTCTACCCCGCTCCCGTTTACAAAGACAGATATTAGAACCTGGAGAGAGGAAAGAATGTTCTCCGAGTCACACTGAGACCCGGAAATGGAGTCTAGTGTGCAGGTCTCAGACCTGCTCTGCCAGATTTTTCTACTGGCCCTAACTGCCTGCCTTTCAGCTGTCTTAACCTCAGGTGCCTTTAAAGTAAGGAGGTGGGCAGAGAGTAGTCCCCCTACAGGGTGTTCCCTGGAAAATAGACAGTTAGTTCTTGCTTGAGAAGCAGCATAATCTTGACAGAACAAGCAGCAGCCCTGGCCATGTTCTATCCAGGTAGCACTGGATTTTTTTTTCCCCCCACATTGCCGGGTATGTGGAACTTCCCCAATCAGGGATCAAACCTGTGTCACTGGCAATGGAAGTTCGGAGTCTCAACCACTGAACCAGGAAGGTCCTTGACCTGGCACGACCAGCAAGCTCTGAGAAGGCAAGGCCACCAACATGGCTTGGGGAACTGCGTGTCTTTGAGTCTGTTAAATGTTTATTCAGTGATTCAGCAGGTGTAGACCAGACACTGGGAGATTTTTAGGGAGAAGAGTTCACAAGAGTTTCAGGCACAGCCCCTGCCCTCAGGTAAAATGAGCACTTGAGCTTTGTGCTGGGAAGAGCCCTTCTCAGAAGAACTTGGCTTCTGAAGTTGAGAGACTGGTGACACTTGGCTCTGAATCAGGCAGTTGTGTGTCGCTGGCGTTAGAGGTGTGTGTTCTAGAGTCAGACCGTTCAAGTTCAAATCTCCCCTTTGCCACTTAATGGCACTAAGGCCTCATGCACGTTACTTTTTTTTTTTTTAATGTTTATTTATCTGACTGCCTCAGATCTTTGTTGCGGCATGCAGGATCTTTCGTTGCGGCTCATTGGCTTAGTTGCTTTACGGCATGAGGCATCTCGGTTCCCTGACCAGGGATTGAACCCACGTCCCCTGTGCTGGAACGGCAATTCTTAACCACTGGAGCCCCAGGGAAGTCCTGCATGTTACTTGTTATGCCTGTTTCTTCAGCATTTAAATGTGCAAGATAATGGAAGCTACCCCAGAAAATCATCAAGAAGAGTAAATTAGTTAATATGTGTAAAAGCACTTTAGAAAAGGACTTTGGCATGTAGTGAGAGCCCACTGAATATTAGAACCTGTGAGAGGAAGGGTTTATAGGGAGTAAGCTGGCTGGGCAGAGGCATGAGGGGACACGTCCTTTGTTTAAAGTTATTCATACTGGTTACTTTGGGGTTCCATTTTCACTCCTCAATATAGATTTTATGTATTTCTCATAGGCTTCTTCACTCATTAGTTCATCTAGTTCTGAAGGGTTACTGAATGTCATCTTGATCAGCCAACCGTCTTCATAACAGCATCTGCTGACAAGTACTGGATTTTCTGCAGGAGCTTCATTCATTTCAGTTACCTCTCCTGATGGAGGAGAACTAGCAGCTTTCACACTTTCCACAGCACCAGACTCCTCTTATTTGTTCAATTTTGTCCTCACTCCAAGCAGACTATAGGAAATGACGTCTCCCAAAGCTTCCTGTGCAAATATGCTGATTCCCACTGTTCCAACACCGTTTCCTGTTGTTGGTCATGCGTGTTTGCCTGTGAATTTACGCATGGAGAACAGCCGGGCTGGTGCACAGCGCCCGGGCGCTGCCTGCGCTCAGCCCCCAGAGTGCTCCATGGTGGCTCCCAGCGCCACTTTCACAGAGGGTAGAGATCCTAAAGCTGGGTTTGCTCAGACTGTGTGTTTAAGGGCAGTGGGTGAGGGTCTGAGAAAACTGAACCATTCCACTGTGAGTGGAGTGTTCTGACCACAGCTTTCCAAGGCTGTTAGGCTCTCTACTTCCAGTAAAACATTCTTGCTGGGAGAGCAGACAACTGGACTTCTGCTGAACATAGGGCAGTTTCTAGCCCTTAGCAGGTTTCTTAGTGACCAGATAAAGACTTCCGGTGACTCTCTGTTTCCTAGCCTGGGTAACTGGAATCAGCTTGGCTTCTCATGGACTGGCTTCCCAGAATGCAGAGAAGGAGAGGGAGAGATGGGTTGGTTGATTTGCTCTCTCCAGGAGACCTGGGCTTTGGGGACGAAGGTTCTGCTTTCCTCCTAGGGATAAGTGGGAGGCCCTCCCAGCCCAAGGCTCACTCCCTTGAATCCTTATCATCACTACCCTAGAGCCCCCTGTGGCCTTGTTTTTTCTCCCTTTCTGAGCTAAACAGGTACAGGCCTGGCCACACTCCACACCAGCCAGACTGAATTGCTACTTTGCTGGGGAGCCAGCCCTCCTGGTTCAGACCCACGTCAAGAGTTCAGGAAATGCATAGTCACAGGGAGCTTCTCGCCGGGGCTCTTCCACTTTAAATGCAGAGAAGCATCTCTTAGGAGATGTTGTCACTGCTCTGCTTAAAATCCTCTAACAGTAATAATACTAAGAGCTTCCCATAGGCCAGGCACTGTTCTAAGTGCTCTATGTGAGATGACTCATTTAGGCCTTCAGTAGCCCTCTGAAGTAGGTAGTATTATCATCTCCATTTGCAGATACAGAAACTGAAAAGAAAACTCAAACAGAAAGGTTGAGTAAGTTGTCTAAGGCCACACAGCTAGTACATGGCAGACTCAGGATTTCAACTCCAGAGCCCACACCCTCAACCACTATACTCTGTGGCCTCTCCCAGCGGCCTCCCCTGCATTAAAATTAAATCCAGATTCTTTCCTCTTGTCTGCAGGGCTTTGTTTGATTGGTCTCCACTTGTGCCTTCACATCTTACTCTTCTCTTTACTCCAGCTGTGGCCCCTCTGGCCTTTCTCAGACACAGAGATGTCGTTCCTGTCTCAGGGTCTTTGCCCAAACTGTGTCCTCTGCTGGAATGTTCTTCCCTGACTACATTCAGTCCTTTGCTTCAAGGCTCAGAGAGACCTTCTGTCTTGCTGTATCTCACTGTGCACGCTGTTCGCTGAATTCTTGGTAGGCAAGGTGCGTGCGGAGAAGCCGGAAGAAAACTCAAGGAGCTGAAGGAACTGCAGACGCGTTTATTCTCTCCTGGCTGGTGCAGCAACTATAGCACCAGACATAACATAACATAGCCTAACATAACGTAACCTCCCCAACAAGGACTCCAGGTGGAGCTTATGTATGCTTACAGAACAAGTAACCCGTGGCCAAGCGAGTACCTTGTGACACGCATGCGCAATGCTGTTAATGATCTCAGTTGTTACATAATCATTATGCACAAAATGTGGGGTGAAAGCGAGAGGGCATGGGGCAAGACAGCCTGACCACGCCATCTTGGCTAGTTTGCTTTTTCCCTACACCTTCCTTGACCAGCCTGTCTAAGTGCTCATCCCCAAGTTGTTCCCTAAGACCTGCTTCATTGATCACACATTGCACTACCCAAATCTCCCTGAGCGTGTGTTTGATATGCATGTTCCTGCCCTGGAATACATGCTGCTCTGTGGGTCAGAGACATCACCTGACTTGTTCCATGCTGCATCCCTGCCGCCTGGAACGGGGTGCATGATAGGTGCTCAGTATACATTTGTTAAATGACTGAATAGGCATGTGAATCCCTTGCACTTCATGCTTGAGCCCTGAGAGCCTCAGTCAGTCCGTCCTTTGGGGCCCAGTCCTACTTCCTGTGGGACAAAGGGACCAAACAGTCAGCTTTGGGGTTGGACAGGCTGCCTTCTGAGCTTTGTGATCTCAGGCCAGCTGCGTAACCCCCCTGCCTCATTTCACTTGCCCGAGGAGGACAGTATCGCCATCCTGATGTGTGTAAAGCGGAGCGCACAGCTTGTGGCATTCCCTAGAGGCTCAGGCCCCAGGAATGCCCTGCCATTCTCCCTACAGCCCCTTGGCACCCAGAAGCACCTCTGGGTGAATCCAGAGCACCAGGGCTTCACGCCAGGTGGCCCAGAATGAGATGTTGTGTGAAGTGATGGCAATTGGGTTCTTTGGAGAATTTTCTTCTGGCAGAATTGCCCTGTACTTGCTGGGGATGATATAGGTGTGTCTGTTTACAAACTTGGCCCCTCCCCCAACCAATGCAGCTGGGACCTATGGATGCAAGCCCATGGGACCTTTTGTAACACAGGCCAGATAGTCCTGCTTCTTGGATGCTGCCTCTTCCCAGTACCATTTCCGTGTTGCTTCGAGTTGGAAGGAATCTGAAGAGCTGAGGTTCCTTGTCTGTGCCTCAGGGATGATTATACCCTCCCTGGCAGGGGGAGGGAGGAGGGAAATCAAGGATGGAGGGAACCTGAATGGCTTAGTCTTCAGTCCACAGAGCGCTGGCTCAGCAGAGGGAAATGCCTTGTTTAACCTGTGTTTCCTGGGCTGCCCAGGACTCCTGGCTCGGTGGGCCTTACTCTCACCCAAAACAGCAAACACACTTACTAAGATCAGAGCAGGATGTTTGTAAGCTCCACAGGTGAGATCAACGTTCAGAGTTCCCAACCATCCCCTGTATTTTGGTTCAGGATTCAAATATCCTCTTAAAAGGTTTATGAGCCCTGAAGATCTGAATGAAAGAGAAACTCCTTCTTGTCCTTCTCTTGGCTGTGTGCACAGCAGGGTAACTCAGGGATTTGGTGGGCAATAGATAGCCACTGACTTTTGAACCTGATGCTTGTGGACCACACAAAGGATTGCAGTCCACACAGCTTGAGTCATGTGGGGCAAATGGGAGCTGCTGCCGGAGGATGGAGGAGGGGGCCCCAAAGCTGGAGGCTGGAGCTGCTTCTCAGGGTGAGCAGTGTCCAGGGCAAGTGCTTGGAAGCTGGAGCTAGGCTGCCTGAGATGAGTTCGAGTCCCTCCATTTACTACAGTGCAATGAGTTTGAGTAAGATCTGGGAGTTGGTGATGGACATAGAAGCCTGTCGTGCTGCAGTCCATGGGGTCTCAGAGTCAGACACGACTGAGCGACTGAACTGAACTTGGAGCAAGTTCTTGACTTTGCTGTGGCTTAGTTTTCTCACCTGTAAAGTGGGGATAACAGTGCCCAACTCCTAAGGTTACTTGTGTTAATATAGGTACAGTATGAGAAAGCCCACAGTGCATGCTCAGTAAATGTTAGCTTTCATGATGATGGTGATAGCCCCATCGTTTTTTTTATGTGTCCTGGCTTTATTGAGATATAATTCATGTATTATAAAATTCATCCATTAAAGTATACAATTCAGTGGTTTTTAGTATATTCAGAGTTGTGCAACCATTACCACTATCAATTTTTGTATTTCATCACCTCATGAAGAAATTGTACCTTTCAGGGTCTTCCCTGGTGGTCCAGTAGTTAAGACTCTGCCTGACAGTGCAGGGGACACAGGTTCAGTCCCTGGGGGAAGACCCCACATGCCACATAGCAGCTAAGCCCGAGAGCCACAACTGCTGAGACCACGTTCTGCAACGACTAAAGCCCGGGGGCCTACAGCTCGCAGTTACCGAAGCCCAAGTGCAGAGAGCCCGCATTTCACAACAAGAGCAGCCACCACAATGCACCACGCCTGTGCACCACGACCAGAGAGTGGCCCCACTCGCTACAACTAGAGAAAGCCCGAGCGCAGCGCTGAAGACCCAGTACAGCCAAAAGTAAATAAAAATAAATAAATCTTAAATTTTACCCTTCAGCTATCACCCTCCTGTTCTCCTGCCCCCTCCTCTACTTTCAGTCTCTGTAGATTTACCTGTGCTGGATATTTCATCCACAGTGACATCATCCAATATGTAGTCTTGGTAACTGGCTTTCACTTAATGTTTTTAAGGTCCATCCACATCACAGCATGTATCAGTGCTTCATTTCTTTTTATGGCTCTACATTTTGTTTATTCATTCATCATTTGGTGGGCTTTTGAGTTGTTTTCACCTTTTGACTATCATGAATATTGTGACTATCAATAGCCCACTTTTTTTTTTCAGATTTATTATTTGGTCAATGTATGACAAAAACCACTACAATATTGTAAAGTAATTAGCCTCCAACTAATAAAAATAAATGGAAAAAAAAAGATTTATTTTTTGGCTGTGGTGGGTCTTCATTGCTGCCTGCAGGCTTTCTCTAGTTGCAGTGAGTGCAGGCTACTCTTTCTTGTGATGCTTGGGCTTCTTATTGCAGAGGCTTCTCATTGCAGAGCATAGGCTCTAGGTGCTTGGGCTTCAGTAGTTGGAGCACGTGGGCTCAGTAGTCGTGGCACATAGGCTTAGTTGCTCTGCAGCATGTGGGATCTTCCTGGACCAGGGACCAAGCCAGTGTACCTTGCATTGCAAAGCATACTCTTAACTGCTGGACCACCAGGGAAGCCTGAGAGCCCACTTTTATATAAACATTTTTTCATCATTTCTTTTTTCTTTTTTTTTTATTTATTTTTTCAAAATTGAAGTACAGTTGATTTACGACATTATGTTCAAATATTTTTAAAAGAACTATCTATGTTTCAGAGTGCTACCCATGTGGCTCAGTGGGTAAAGAGTCCACCTGCAATGCAGGAAATAGAGGAGATGCCAGTGTGATCCCTTGGGTTGGGAAGATCTCCTAGAGGAGGGCATGGCAACCCATTTCAATATTCTTGCCTGAAGAATCCCATGGACAGAGGAGCCTGACGGGCTACAGTCCATGGGGTTGCAAAGAGTTGGACACGAATGAAGTGACTGAGCATGCTCACACGCATCTATGCTTCAAACATAGATGAATAACTCTTGGCACAAAATAAGAACTCACAACAATCCTGGGGGCAAGGTGACATTATCCTCACTTTGTAAAGAAACAAGCTCAGAGAGGTTAAGGGCCTGGACTTCCCTGGGGATCCAGTGGCTAAGACTTGAATCTTCCACTGCAGGGGCCAAGGGTTTGATCCCTGATTGGGGAGCTAAGACCCCACATGCTGCTTGGCACAGCTGGAAAAAAAAGAGAGGTTAAGGGCCTTATAGCTAGAAGGCAGCTTTGGAGCTTGCCTCCGGCCACAGAAAGGTGATGAAGATGGGGATGGTGAATCACCGTCTGTTTCTTTCTTCCCTGCTCCCAGCAGAGGGGTGCTAGCCCTCTGCTGCCCTCTGCCCCCTGTCTTCTAGGCGTCCAAAGTGTGGAGGTGCAGTTGGAGAACCAGATGGTCCTGGTGCAGACCACCCTGCCCAGCCAGGAGGTGCAGGCCCTTCTAGAAGGCACTGGGAGGCAGGCGGTCCTCAAGGGCATGGGCAGTGGCCTGTTGCGTGAGTAACCACTATGGCCTTGGACTCTCTGGGAGGGAAGTGGCCTGGGTGTGGTACAGCTCTGACCAACCATAGGATCTGGGGGCTTTGGGTCGGAGAGGCTTCGGAGACCACGTGAAGGTTACATGGGGCTCTCTCCCTGCCCTTTCCAAGCTGATGAACGAGGGGGGCTGGGTGAGGTGGCGAGCCAGCCCTGGTGTCTGATACCTTACAGAGAATTTAGGGGCAGCCGTGGCCATTCTCGGGGGGCCTGGCCCTGTGCAGGGAGTGGTGCGCTTCCTGCAGCTGACCCCTGAGCGCTGCCTAATCGAGGGGACCATTGATGGCCTGCAGCCTGGGCTGCATGGACTCCACATCCATCAGTTCGGGGACCTCACGAGGAACTGCAACAGGTGAGTCCTGTGGAACCTCCCTGGAGCATCCTCATTGCCCGGGTTGTGCACCCACTGTTTGTAGGGTGCTGTACTCAGCTTTTTACACACAAATTCACATACGGTCCTCACAAGTACCCTGGGAGGCATATACACACAAGCCCAGTTTACAGATGAGAAAACTGAGGCTCAGAAAGGTTACATGACTTGTCAAAAGCCCTAGAGCATGTAAATGACAGAGTGGGGATTTGAACCAAAATCTGACCTTGACACTCCTGCTCCTAGCTCCCAGATGGAAGGTGACTCCTTAACACGGGAGGGTCAGTTCTCCATGCATGTCATGGTATTTATCATGCTGCAATTAGTGCTTACTCATCCAGGTTTACCCTAGAGGCCTGCTGAAGACAGGTCTCATGACTGATTCTTCTTAGTGATCTCAACCCAGAGCCTGGTACAAGTGGGTCCGTTTGTTGAATGGGTGGATGAATAAATGAATGAGTGGATGAATAGAACAAATGTAGTTAAAGTAAGAGGATGGATCACCTGGTCCATGAGCTGTGGTTTCACTGCCTACCTGCTATCTTTTCTTCTTAGCTGTGGGGACCACTTTAACCCTGATGGAATGTCCCATGGGGGTCCCCAGGACTCTGAACGGGTAAGTGTTGGTCTTGGGCTGGCAGAGAACCCAAGATCTCAGAGGCACGGCAGGCAGCTCTTGGAGCCTGAGAGTGTGATACCATTTGGGGGGAGTGTTTCTCCCTCCTTTTATTTTGTTCAGTTTAGAAACATTTCTAGATACTTCCTGTGCTCAAGGCCTGACCCTGTCTCACAGCCTGGTGAGGGAGACACTCAGAACTCCGTGGTTGCAGCACAGCCAGAGCATCTTTGCAGGAGCCTCCGGGAGGCCCTGGGAACCCAGAGCAAGCTCCAGATCCAGTCCGAAGGGCACAGGCAGTGGGAGAGAGCTTCCCAGAGAAGGTGATGGTGTGGGAAGTTAAAGGTTTTACCTAAAGTAAAAAGGCTGCTCCCGGGACTTCTCTGGATGTCCAAGGGCTAAGATTCCAAGCTCCCAGTGCAGGGGGCTTGGGTTCAATCCCCGTCAGGGAACCAGATCTCACATGCTGCAACTAAAGATCCCTCGTGCTATAACTAAGACCTGGCACAGCCAAATAATAATAATTTTTTAAAAGGCCATTCCTGACTCTGCAGCTCCTGGCCCTGGACTTTGCTTTTACACCAGAGAATTGGCCCCTGAGGCCATGAGTCACATGCCACCTTCATGGTTTTTGCCTTATCTGAGGACTACTTGTCCTGCTAGTTACTCAACGTTTTGATTTAAATTGACTGATTTTTTTTCCCCTTAAGTATCTCGGAACATGATTTCAAACATATTCTGAAGTGGACAGACTGGTGTCCCAAACCCCTGTGTCCCTGTCACCCAGCTTTAACAGTTGACTGCTTGTGGCCAGTCCCATTCCATCTGCACCCCTGGCCTTTCTCCGTTATTTTGAAGAAAATCGAGACATCATTCATGTAATTCAAGTAGATTTATTTTGAACAAGAAACGATATTGCCACAGAAAATGAGAAACCAGTACTTCTAGCCCCAAAAGGAGGATCCTTGTAAACATAAATCAGTGCAGACCTTAAAAGTGTTGTGACGGGAGTTCCCTGGCGGTCCAGTGGTTAGGACTCCACACTTCTGCTGCAGGGGGCATGGGTTCGATCCCTGGTTGGGGAACTAAGATCCTGCAAACCATTCAGTGTGACCAAAAAAAAAAAAAACAGTGTCATTAAACACCTACACGGGACTGCGCCTGCTTATCTTTGTTAGAGTGCTTGGTGAACGTTAAGAGAGGTCCTGGGTGTTGCCCAGGAGGACCGCCTTCGCTCCTGGGGCTGTTTCTTAATGCCCCATCCACGTACACCTAGTTCCATCTCCTCCACTTGCGGTGCTATGTGTTCCCCTCCTTGCGAATTCAGTACCAGGGCAAACAAATGAAAACGTGGTGTGTGTTTCTTAATTCATGTAAGTGATTATTCTCTTTTTTTTTTTGACTTCTGACAGCTCTGTCACATTTTCAACAGTCAAAAGTTTTTACTCCTCACCCGCCACTCCTAGGGAGCTGAGGAAGCCTTTCTGTCAGATCTGCATAGTGCCCTGCTTATGTTCTATGCGTCAGTTATCTATTGCTGAGAATCAAATTACTTTAAACTTAAGAGTTTCGTTTTTTTCTTTGTGGCGTGAGGCGTGCAGGATCTTAATTCCCCAACCAAGGATTAAACTGGGGCCCTTGGCAGTGAAAGCACCAAGTCCTAACCACTGGACCACCAGGGAATTCCCAAATTTAGGGGTTTGAAACAGTAAGCATTTGTCATCTCACAGTTTCTCTGGGGCAGGAATCTGGACACAGCTTAGTTGGTGCTTCTGGCTGAGTGTCTCTCAAGGCTTGATGTGAGGAAGACCCACTTCCACACTTGTGCATGTTGCTGTTGGCAGGCCTCCCTGGGTGTTGGCCAGAGACCTCAGTCCTGTGCCCCGTGAGCCTTTCCCTAGGGCAGCACACAGCACTGCAGCTGCCTGTCCTCAGAGCCAGAGAGAGAAGGCGTCTAAGACCCAAGCCAACTCCTTTTGAAACCTAAGTTTGGAGGTGATACCTGGCCCAGGCCACACTCAGCAGGTGTGACTCCAGGGGGTGCATCCTCAAGGCCGTCTTCCTCACTCAGCCTCAAGAGGTGCTGAGCAGGTGAGGCAGGGAGAGTGGGAGCGGAGGCTTAGCACGGGACGCCCAGCAGACAGAGCCCTGGAGGCAGGAACCCTCAAGACTGGGTTCTGGGAGGAAGTGGAGTTTCGAAGGCCAAGAGGCTGCCTTAGCCTGGGCCTGCTAGGGGTGGGGCATCTGAAGGGTCTGGTGCCAGCTGCTCCATTGTCCCCAAGCCCTTGTACAGACGGAGGAAAACTTGAGCAAGGGCTCCATGACCAAGCCACCATGATGACTGGCACGTTCCTTTGGGATTTCCGCATCTGGTTTTGCCCAAATGGAAGTGAATTCAGTGAGGGGATGTATATCCAAGCCTGGTTGTCCCTTTGCATGTCTCCTAGCTGGTTTCCATGCTTCCTTCCGCCCTCCCACTGCCACTCCAGTCCTTCCCCTCCCCCTCCGTGCGCTGCATTTAAGAAATTGATCCAAAGCATGGGGTAACCGTGTCACACCACTCCTGAAACCCTTCTTGACTCCCCAGTCCCCGAGGGTACAGATCCCACATGGCTGCATGGTGTGACATTCGGTGCCACCTGGTCCAGTTCCACCTACCCGTGTGCACGGGAGGGACCTTCTGCCTGATGACACCTCTGAGCCACATACCAGGTGCTCACTCCCTCCGCCCCTAGAAACTCCTCCCCATCCCTTACCTTCCCACCACAAAAGGCCCCAACACCAGGTCCAACAAAAAGTGCCAGCTGTCGGCAACAGAAGTCCCCCAGGTAAACAAGATAAAGCAGAGGTGGCTCTTCTTGCTGCTTGCTCATCAGTCCCATCATGTGGCAACATCTTTTGTGACCAGCCCAAGGCAAGGCCATGGGTACAAGTCCATGTTGGCAGGGATCCTTCTGCCCAAAGTGTCAGATTGGGGACAGTTTATTTGCACAAATCCTACTGTGACTCGCCAGTAGGGTCTTGTCACGGGGAAACACACTCACTGTTGTGCTAACCCTGTGTTTCGCAGCCACTAGTCTGTTCCATGTCCGGTTCCCCACAGTGTTCCAAACCCCTTGAGGGTGGTTGACCACGTATGCATCCCCAACCCCCAAACCCCACCTGGCAGAGGGTGACTGATGTAGGAAGTGCTCAGTAGCTGTGTTGTTGTTATTTTAGTTGCTAAGTTGAGTCTGACTCTTTGTGACTGCACAGACTGTAGCCCTCCAGGCTCCTCTGTCCATGGGATTTCCCAGACAAGAATACTGGAATCAGTTGCCATTTCCTTCTCCAGGAGATCTTGCCAACCCAAGGATCGAACTCATTTCTCCTTCACTGGCAGGCAGATTCTTCACCACTGAGCCACCAGGGAAGCCCCTAGTAGCTGTGTTAGCACACTTTTATACCTTCAAGAGGAAACGTGGGCAGAAACAGTCTTGAGGGCAGGATATGTCCTCTGCTCCTGTGTTTCTTCTCTCTCTTCCTGGAGGCTGGACGTCAGGGAAGGGATGCTGGCTGCCTCTGATGGTCAGGAAGCCAAGCTTGGCCAACTTAAGCACAGGGGAACTGCAGACTGCCAGGGGCTGACTGTCATCGGGAGGCTGGAGAACTGGGCTTGCAAAGAAGCAGGAAGCGGGGTCAGTGCTGAGGCTGGGATGCAGACTGGGCAGATACCTCGTAGGGAAAGCAGTCTGGGGTAGTGGCGTGACTTCCTAGGGAGGGTCTCTGTGGCCATGTCCAGTGTGCCGTCATTCTACCCAGGATTTTAGTTCCAGGGAGAGAGTCCAGTTGCCTTCTGTGTGTCCTGGGCTGTTCCTTCATCCTACCAGACTGAACCTGTAGGAGGACACTGCTACTCTGGGGAAGGGGAATGAGACACTGGGAAGCCAGAAGTCAGCCGCCGTGTCCCATGTGCCCTCTTCCCCCGGCTCTTACTGCAGCACCGCGGAGACCTGGGGAATGTCCATGCTGATGAGGATGGCCGAGCTGTCTTCAGGATTGAGGACGAGCAACTGAAGGTGAGGTGGAGGAGAAGGCGGGGACCTTTCCTAACAGATCCAACGTCTGAGGCTGTTGTCTCCCCTCAAAGGTGTGGGATGTGATTGGCCGAAGCCTGGTCGTCGATGAGGGAGAAGATGACCTGGGCCGGGGCGGGCATCCCTTGTCCAAGATCACAGGGAACTCGGGAGAGAGGTGAGCACTCTGCCTGTGGCACACGCGGAGACCTGGAGGGGCCCAGTGGGTGCTCAGCTCGACCCCATGCTCTTCCGCAGGTTGGCCTGTGGCATCATCGCACGCGCCGCTGGCCTTTTCCAGAACCCAAAGCAGATCTGCTCCTGTGATGGCCTCACCGTCTGGGAGGAGCGGGGCCGGCCCATCGCTGGCCAGGGACGGAAGGAGCCCGCCCAGCCCCCTGCCCACCTCTGAGCACGGCCTCTGCCTTGGGTCTGTCACTGTCCTCCTTGCTGAGCACCGTTCACTTCCAGAGGGAGGCCCTGCTCACCCAGTCCTGGGAGAACCAGTGTGCGGGCTGTGTTTCTTCTCAAAGGGTTGCTTGCTCTTCCCTTGGCAAATTAAAATTTTATTTTCACATGGAACTTTGCGGTTTGTCTGTGTCCCCTCCTTGCTTAATGGGCTTAGTAAACACAGTCCCTCTGCCTCTGTCCTCCCTGTCGAGGGCCACTTCTTGGCTTTGGAGGCAAAGAAAACTGAATTCAAATCCACAGTTTGGGGACTATCCAGTGGTCCAGTGGTTTAGACTCCATGCTTCCACTGCAGGGGGCATGGATGTGATTCCTGGTTGGGGAAGTTTGCATGCCACATGGAACAGCCAAAAAGAAAAGAAGAGAAAATCCACACAGTTCCTGAGGGCCACTTCCTTATCCTCAGGGTAACAGCGAAAGACCATAGCAGACATATTTCTGTTTGTGGCCTGACCCCCTCCCTTCACTGTGGCCAGTTGGAACCAAGAGGGACACCTGACCCTTGCAGGGCCTTGCTTTCCTGAAGAAATCAAAGCAGATCCAGAGCTGTGGGTGGGCCTTTTCTCCCTGCCTTTGTCATTGCTGTTCAGTCGCCAAGTCATGTCTGACTCTGCGACCCCATGGACTGCAGCATGCCAGGTCTCCCCTGTTCTTCACTGTCTCCTGGAGTTTGCTCAGATTTATGTCCATTGAGTCGATGATGCTATCTAACCATCTCATCCTCTGTAGCCCTCTTCCCCTTTTGCTGTCAATCTCTCAGCATCAGGGTCTTTTCCAGTGAGTTGGCTCTTTGCATCAAGTAGCTAAAGTACTGGAGCTTAGTTCACTGATTTCCTGAGACGTTGATGTTCATGCTGGCCATCTGCTTGACCACATCCAATTTACCTTGATTCATGGACCTAACATTCCAGGACCCTATGCAATATTGTTCTTCACAGCATCAGACTTTACTGTCACCACCAGACACGTTCACAATTGAGCATTGTTTCCACTTTGGCCCAGCCGCTTCATTCTTTCTCCCTGCCTTAGGGACTGAATATCAGAAAAAGCCGCTAGATCTGCTGGGGAGGAGGAATAAGGCTGATTCACAGGAAGAACCTAAGAGTCGCAGGAGAATGCCAGATGCTCCAGAGTCCCCAGTCTGGGCCTTCCCTGAGGCCAGCTACCTCCTGACCTAGAAGTCAAGAGACAGTTCTGTATCCCTTCCAATGCATCACCACCCACTTTTTTTTAAAATCTGGCTTGAGTTGATTTCTTTATTCACAAGTAAAAGGCTCTTAATTAATGGAATGAATAAAGTGCTTGGCACAGGGCCTGGCACACGGTAGGTTGGGAGCAGTGGTGGTGAACCTGAGGCTCCACGGGGCGCCTGGAGGCAGACCGAGCCGAGCTCCTGTCTCACACAGATGGCCAATATCCAAGGACCGGTGTGTGAGGCTGGGAACTCGGGCTCCCCACTCAGCTGTTCTGCCCCCCTGCCCCCACTGGACTGTGTCTCTCCTGCTCATCCGTGACAAAGCTGCTTTCGTGCCCAGGCAGGTAGGCTGGCAGTGTGCAAACTTTGCCCCTCACTGAGCCTGCTTGGAGCCGGGTGGGTGGTTTCACAGTCTGTTGGCCTTGGCTTAGATGTGCCTGGCTCTGCTCCTATTCCCCAGGCCCTGCCTGTTTCCCCGTCAAGGCTGCTGGCTCTGCCTCTAGCCCTGTTCTTTCTCACCAAATCCACACTGGTTGCTTTCCAGCTTTCCTTGGTTCCTGGGGAACCAAGCGCTTTTAAGCCTAGGGCCCAGGCTGTGTTTCACCACCTCAGAATCATTGCAGAAACTCCTGGACTCTGCCCACAGCCAACCCCTGACCTCCTCTCACCTCCATCTGGAATTCTAGCTAGCTTTAACCCATTTATGGCTAAGCTGCTCACCATCCCCTGCCACTCTGTTTCTACTCCTAAGGGATCAATGTTCCCATTAGCTTTTCTCTTTGAAACTCTCAGCTGTGTGGTTTTCAAACTTTGAACTTTGTTTTTAAATCACAGAACACTGTTCAAATACCTTGAAACCCCAGCTATAAAACAGAAATGGAACTACAACCAAAGATGCTTAGTTGTGACTAAGCTCCCCCAAAGCCCTGGAGCTCTAGGGAGCACAGTTGGAAAGTGAAAGTGTTAGTCCATCAGTCATGTCTGACTCTTTGCAACCCCATGGACTGGCCCTCCAGGCTCCTGCTCCTCTGTCCATTGGATTCTCCAGGCAAGAATACCGGAGTGGGTTGCCATTTCCTTCTCCAGGGGATCTTCCCGACCCAGGGATCGAACCCACGTCTCCTGGATTGCAAGCAGGCTCTTTACTGTCTGAGCCACCAGGGAATCTTCCAGTTGGAAAATCTTTGCCAAATTCGGGCATTTTTGTGTTATCTCCAGACTTCTGCTGTGTCCACAAACCATCTGTTCTATCATTAACCAAATACTGTTCTTTAACTCACTTTTAAACTTACTGAAAAAGGAAAATTTACACCAGGTGAGTGATTCTAATTTTAAAAAGACCATGGGGTTCAAGTCCAAGTGGGGTTAAAGTTTGACCTCTTACCTTCTGAGATGGCCTATACTCTGTGTGGGAAGTGTGTTTCTCTCTAAATAAATCCGCTTCTTACCTAACAGAAAAGAAAACTTAGTCATATTCAGTTCAGTTCAGTCGCTCAGTTGTGTCTGACTCTTTGCGACCCCATGAATCGCAGCACGCCAGGCCTCCCTGTCCATCACCAACTCCCGGAGTCTACTCAAATTCATGTCCATCGAGTTGGTGATGCCATCCAACCATCTCATCCTCTGTCATCCCCGTCTCCTCCTGCCCGCAATCATATTAGTCATATTAGCTAATACCTATATAATGATGATTAAGTGCCAGGTTATCTTCTGAACACTTTACATTCAGTAATTCATTGAATCCTCATGACAAAACTTCAAGGTAGATTCTGTTACATATTTATTTATTTTTCTTAGCCACACCTTGTGGCTTATGGGATCTTAGCAATGAAAGGGTGGAGTCCTAACCAGTGGACTGCCAGGGAATTCCCAGTAGGTTCTGTTATTATCCCAAGTTACAGATGAGAAAAGAGAAACACAGAGTGATTATGTAATTTGCACAAGATCACACAGTTAGTAACACGGCCAAATCTAGATTCAGACCCAGGTACTCTGGCTCTAAGGCTATATTGGTTGTCATTATAAAGTATGAAAAGCAGGAGTCATTTGTTATAAATAGTTTGCAGGGAATTCCTTGGAGGTCCGGTGGTTAGGTCTGCCTGCCAATGCAGGAGAAGCAGGTTCAATCCCTGGGTCAGGAAGATACCCTAGAGAAGGTAATGGCAACCCACTCCAGTATTCTTGCCTGGAGAATCCCATGAACAGAGGAGCCTGGAGGGCTACAGTCCATGGGATCGAAAAGAGTCAAACAGGACTGAGCAATTGGGCATGTATGCATCTGCACGTATAACAGATTCACTTTGCTGCATAGCAGAAAGTATTAATAACGCAACATTATAAATCAACTGAACTTCAACAAATTTTGTTTTAATCCCTTGTATGTGATTTTGAAGCACACAAAATTTGAGAACTACTAGTTGCAAGTTATAAAAACTGGTTAGCTCAGAATATTCCCTGGTGGTACAGTGATTAGGACTCAGCTCTTCCACTGTCATGGCCTAGGTTCAATCCCTGGTTCAGGAACTAAGATCTTGCATGCCACAGGGCACCCACCCCCCTAAAAAAAAAAAAGAAAACTGGAATGCATTGTAGTAAAGGTCAGAACCATCCTCTAGCCCCCAAAATCTTCACCTCTAGTTAGTTTATTTATTTATTGTTAAGAATTTTTCTAGTTACCTGGAATTGCTACTGCTTTTAGCTTTTTTATTTACGTGGTTGCTGCACTGGATCTTAGTTGTGGCCCTTGGGATCTTTAGCTGTGACATGTGGGATTTAGTTCCTTGACCAGGGATCAAACTCCAGCCCCTTGCCTTGTGAGCGTGGCGTCTCAGCCACTGAACCATCAGGGAAGTCCCTTCCCCTCTAATTTAAATACATGCATGTCACCTATCCAAAAAGGACTTGAGGTGTCTTAGCCAGAGAGAAAGAGCAGATAATATCTAAAAATTCAGATGAGGGACACACCAGTACAGAGAGAGGGCTCAGCTTTAAGGCCAAGAGGAAACTGCTCTGGGTTCCCTGGGTCTAATTGCTTAATAATACAATTTCAGCAGGATAGAATCCTGTCACTGTGTCTATTTTGCATTTTAGTGGTTTTAGTGGACATGAAGAGACTGTGATTATGCTTTTATTTTGTCAAGTTACTGTGATTGGCTCTTAATGGCCCTCCAGATTAGCAGGTCTTACTCTCTGGATGCTATAAATATTACCTTATTGTAGAAAAGGATCTTGGCAGATATGATTGAATTACAGATTTTGAGATGAGGTTATCCTGGATGACCTGGATGGGCCCTAAATGCAAGCACCTGTATTCTTACAAGAAGGCCTAGCAAGTTTTTTTTTTTTTTTTTGCCCCACCACAGAGCATGTAGGATCTTAGTTCCCTGAGCAGAGATCGAACTCTCACCCCCTGCATTGGAAGCATGGAGTCTTAACCATTAGACCACTATGGAAGTCCTGAGAGAAATTTAATGATGTTGACCCTGGAGACTAGAGGGATTCCTAGGGATGCCAGCAGCCACCAGAAGCTACAACAGCTGGAAGAGGCAAGCAGTGGTTTCTCTCTTAGCCTTAAAGGAACAAGGCCCTGCTGACACGTTGATTTCAGCCCAGTGCTACTAATTTTGGACTTTTAGCCTGCAGAACTGTGAAAGAATAACTTTTTTTAACACATACGTTATTTATTGGCTGTACTGGGTCTTCACTGCCGCATGGGCTTTTCTCTAGTTGCAGTGAGCGGGGCCTTCTCTTGCTTGTTGCTGAGTGCTCTAGGGTGCACAGGCTCAGTAGTTGCAGTCCCCAGCTTCTAGAGCACAGGCTCAGTAGCTGTGGTTTATGGGCTTAGTTGCTCCTTGCTGTGTGGGATCTTCCCAGACTAGGATCAAATCCATGTCTCCCGTATTGTCAGGAGGATTCTTTATCGCTGAGCCACCAGGAAGCCCTTGCCACATCACATTCTGTTGTTTTAACCAACCCAGGTTTTGGTGATTTGTTACAGCATCTGCAGGAAACTAATACGGTTACTATTCAACTGCATTAAAGTAACGTAACACACTTAAAGCTTAGTTTCCTTAAGGCTTTAACTTTACAAAGTTTATTGATCTGTTATAAATCTAGCAAAAATAAGTTATTATCTTCACCTTTTCTTTGATAAATGCTGGCAGACTACATTGGACTCTAAATAATCGTACCCATTTGCAACTTAAATTCCATCAAACTTTAAAAAAATTGCATTTGTATATTTGTTTAATTTTCTTAAATACCACAGACTCCTGACCTAAATGTAAACTTCAAAACAAGCTTCCTGATAAGTCTTATAAATACAGTGAAATTATTCTATAACTGTTTACAGGCTTCAAAAAATTATACATCTTAGCTAAAAATTGAACCCTAAAAAAAAAAAATTGCAACCCTAAAGTCAAGTTTCAAAAGTTTTTCTATTTTTAAAATTTCATTTATTTTAAAATTTTGGCTGCACTGGGTCTTCCTTGCCGAGCTATATGAAGGCTCTCTTTAGTTGTAGCCTCGGGGCTTAATAGTTTTGGCTTGGGCATGCCAGTTCTTACCTCCCTAACCAGGGATTGAACCTGCATTCCCTGCATCGGAAGGTGAAGTTTTAATCACCGGACCACCAGGGAAGTGCCACCATGATACCTTTTATTTATTTATTATTTTAATTTATTTTTAAAATTTATTTATTTTAATTGGAGGCTAATTACTGTACAACATTGTGGCGTTTTTTGCCATACATTCACATGAATCAGCCATGGGTGTACATGTGTTCCCCATCCTGAACCCCCCTCCCACCTCCCTCCCTATCCCATCCCTCTGGGTCATCCCAGTGCACCAGCCCTGAGCACCCTGTCTCATGCACATGATACCTTTTAAATGGCTATGTGCCCTGGGTGTCTAGAGGCCTGCCGATACCCTGCTCTGAGAATACTGCCAGCAGTTTGGATTTGTGGAGATATCAGAGTGATATCAAAGTGATGCCCCTCTTTTCTTCCTTATAATGTATGTTTTAAATTATAAAAGAATTAGAGTGCTCGCTTTGGCAGCACATATACTGGAGTTGGAGCGATACAGAGAAGATAAGCATGGCCCCTGCGCAAGGATGACATGAAAATTCGTGAAGCGTTCCATATTTTAAAAAGAAAAAAAAAAAGAATTATATGCTCATTGCTGAAAGTCTAATGATACAGAAAAGTAAAAAATCATTAAGCCCCATCTCATTCCCCTGAGGTAATCCATGTTATTTTTCTATGCTGAAAAACATGTGTATCATATCAAGGTTTTTTTTTAAGCTATATCTTAGAAATAGGTAGTGTTATATAAACACATTTTTTCCCTCTTAAATTATGGTCCTCCATCCACATCATCCTTCCTCATCAATAAATTCTGACCTATTTTTATTTTTTTGAGTCTTAACCACTGCACTGACAGGGAAGTCCCTTGACCTATTTTATTTATTTAAATAATTTATTTGCCTGCATCAGGTCTTAGTTGTGGCGTGCAGGACTTTGTTGCATCATGTGGATCTTTCATGCAACATATGGACTCTCTAATTGTGGTGAGCAGGTTCAGTAGTTGCAACTCACAGGGTTAGCTGCTCTGAGGCATGTGGATCTTAGTTCCCACCAAAAGGTGCATGCAATCCCCTGCATTGCATGGAGACTTCTTAACTACTGGACCAGCAGGGAAGTACCCCCTGACATACTTTCAATACCAACATGATATTCCATCCAATAGTCCCTTATTTGTGGACATTCAGGTTGCTTTTACTACTTGCTACTACAAACAATGCTACAATAAATAAATTTATATCAATATCCTTATTGATGAGTTTTCTGTAGGCTGGATTTCCAAAGCAGGATTACCATGTTAAAGGCTCACTACATTTAGTTTTGATATTGCCAGAATACTTACCAGGAAGGATATAGAGATCTCACTACATATGTAATTCATACATACAATCTGTGAGTGTAATTTCCTCACACCTATAAGACCAACAGATATAAATTTTTTTTTCAAATATGAGGCATGAAATGTTCTCATTTTCTCACAAAATTGCATTTCTCTGACTAGCAATGAAGTTTCTTGTTTATTTATTATTTGTACTTCTTTTCCTATAAAATTACCAGTTAGCATCCTTGGCCTATTTATCTTGTCTTTTTCCCCCTATCAATTTGTAGGAGTTCTTTGTACAGTACAAATATTCATTCAGTCGTGTCTGACTCTTTGCGACCCCATGGACTATACAGTTCATGGAATTCTCCAGGCCAGAATATTGGAGTGGGTAACCTTTCCCTTCTCCAATGGACCGAGGGATTGAATCCAGGTCTCTAGAATGGCAGGCATATTCATTACCAACTGAGCTATCAGGGAAGCCCCACAGATATTAATTCTTTAGATTCAAAAATTTGTATCAATATCTTCAGCCCAGACTTCTCCCTGAACTCCAGACATATCTAATTGTCCACTGGTACCCCCATTTGATGACTTGCAGGCATCTCAAACTTATCAAACTCCTTGGTAGTCCAGTGGTTAGGACTGTACTTTCACTGCTGTGGGCCTGGGTTCCATCTATCCCTGGTTGGGGTGCTAAGATCCTGCAAGTGGCAATGAACCGACAAAAACAAACAAGTAAACAAAACAAGTCCCCAAATTTTTATGTCCAAAAATAAATTTCTGGCCATCTACAATGTTCCCCATATCAATAAATGGCAACTTAATGCTTCCCTTTTCCTGGTGTCATCTTTGACTTCTTTCTCTCACAATTCACATCCTATCACATATTGTGTTGGCTCTACAGTCAAAGTATATCCAAATCTAAGCACTTCTGCTGAATTTTACTACAGCCACCCTAATCCACCTTCATTTCTCCCCTGGATTTTTTTTTTTTTTGACAGCGCCCTGCTGTAGACCAAAGATCAAATCCCCACTCCCTGTGGTGGAAGTGCCGAGTCCTAATCACTGGACTGCCAGGGAGGTCCCTTTCTCCTGGATTTTTGCTTCAGTGACAACTGTTCTGAGAAAATGAGTATTTTCTGTTTTTGCCCATTTCAATAGCCGCCAGAATGATACTTATAAAACTACGAAAGCTAAGTCCTATCAGGTGAACCCCTCTTCTCTCTATAGACTTTCAGCCTCACTAAGAGTGAAAGCCAAAATTATTTAAATGGCCCACCAGGTGCTACATCTCCTCTCTGTTGTGGTGTTCTATTATTCACTTTGTTCCACCCTCCAGCCATACTAGCTCTTGTGATTCTTTGGACAGACACACTCCTGCCCCAGGACTTTCTGACATGTTCTTACATGCTGGAATGATTCCCCCATAGCATGGCTCCCTCAGTTACTTCAAGTCTTTATCACTACCTAATAGGCTATTATGTTTTACTTATTATCTGTCTCTCTCCACAGCAATACACGCTCCAAGGTCGGGATTTTTGTCCCTTTTTGTTCACTGCTTTATTTTTGGTCTTGTCCCAACAGGGTGGACGTTGAATAAAATTTGTAGAATGAACTTGCAAGCAAACATTTTCCTGTACTTGTCACATGTTCTTATATTTTTAACATCTCCCATGCAAAATCTTTTTTTCTTTTTTAAAGGCTCAACTTTCATCACCTCAAGGACAGTTCTTTTTTTTTCCTCAAGGACGGTTCTTTTGACTCAATTTCAGATTTTATTAAACTTTTTGTTGTGGAAAACTTCAAACATATATCAAGATTGATATATCTTATTCCTTGTTTTTAAACTCCATAAAGGCAGAGGTGGGGTCTGATTGGCTTTTCAGTGTCTCCAGTGTTTGTCTGGACCTCAGCAACTTCAAGGAATGTGTTTCCAAAGAAATTAATGGCACGAGGGTTTCTATGGGGCAGATGCCGCTCAGGGTCCCCTCAGACTGCCCAGCACAAGCGGCAGTCTTGGGAGCCAGTCCCGGGAGTCTTCTGCTGAAGGAAGGCGTTTGTCCCGGTTTCTCCCGCCAGGCCAGGACTTCCCGTGGACACTTTCGTTGCTACCCCTAGCTAGGCGCGGGTTTGGCCTAGGCGGCCAGAATGGGAGAGGCTCTGACTTAGACTGAACAAAGTTTTTCCTTGGGGCCTGCCGGTCCCGCCCCACCCAGCCCAGAGGCCTCCTCGCTCACTAGGCCTCTCAGCTGCCCCGGCGCTCCCTGCGCGCGTAACCCCTTCCCCAGCCCGTCTTCCCCTCCCCCCGGCTGTGGCGGTTGGTCGCGCGCCGTCGTCCCTCTCCCACCCACTCTGCTAACGAGCGGGCTCCAGGCCCTCTGGGATTGGCTGCGTCTGAGTGCATTTTCTATCAGCCTCTCTGATTGGCTACATGACGCGCGGGATCCGGGCTCCGATTGGCTAGGTCAGGGCGCCTGCGCGGCGGGGTTCTCGGTCGCCAGCCATTCCTAGGGAGGACTGCCGGCGGGTCGGACGTCTCGCCTGTCGCTGGAGGAGAGGTCCCGGCTCTCCGGGAAGGCGGCTGCGGCGGCAAAATGAAGATATTTGTGGGAAACGTCGATGGGGCGGATACGACGCCGGAGGAGCTGGCAGCTCTCTTCGCGCCCTACGGCACGGTCATGAGCTGCGCCGTCATGAAACAGTTCGCCTTCGTGCACATGCGCGAGAACGCGGGCGCGGTGCGCGCCATCGAGGCCCTGCATGGCCACGAGCTGCGGCCGGGGCGCGCGCTCGTGGTGGAGATGTCGCGCCCACGGCCTCTTAACACTTGGAAGATATTCGTGGGCAATGTATCGGCAGCGTGCACGAGCCAGGAATTGCGCAGCCTCTTCGAGCGCCGCGGACGCGTCATAGAGTGTGACGTGGTAAAAGGTAACGTGCAGGCGGGGGCGCGCTCGGGGCACTCAGCTTGTTAGCCACGCCCCTTTCCCGGGGGCCGGTCACAGCGCGGTTGGTGAGGGCGGGGGTAGGGGGAAGTCCGCGGGAGTGAGGCCGGAGGTGTTGGGGGCGCGTTGGGTAGAGCCACCGTCCTCCCGTGCGGTCCAGGCACCATTAACCAAATGGGAGGAAGCGGCTCAGGGTGGGTGCGGCGGCCACTGTGAGCCGAGCTACGGGGCCGGGGACGCGCCTGAGAGACTTGGGAGTATACCGGGGGCGCGCCTTCCACTGGTCTCCTGGGCCTGGCACCGAGCGGAAATTGGGAAGTGACGGGCACAAGCCGGATCATGGAGCGGGGAAGATTTTGCGACTTCCCCACTTCCTCTCCAGACGTCTGTCAGAGCGAGGGAAAAGGTGGGGGCTGACCCCCCGCCCCCACCAAAAGCCACCCTCGTGTTCCCTCCCAGTGAATGCTCCCGAGCGGAAGGTAACGGGGCCCTTGGAAGTTTCTTGGGCTGGGATCTTTTAGTACTGTGTGGCGTGGGTCTACTCTTGGGCATAGTTAACTCCTGGGTATGGGGTGGGAGGCGGGGGCTTCCGAACTACTTTGGCCTTTCAGTATTGTTAGGTGGGTTAGGCTTGGCAACTCTGCGCTTTCCAACTCCCTCAAACTTGTTTCCCACCCCCCCCCACCCCCTTTGGGATCAGTTTTACATCTGTAAACTGGAAGCCCCGACCTATCACCTGTGGAAGAAGGCTTGTTTTATGAAAAGCCCTCTTCCGAGCAGCTAGCTTGCCAAGCCGGTGCCCCAGAAAAATGTCCTTCTTTTCTAAACTTGGTGATTTTGCAAGGGGGCACGCTCTGTGGCTGAGGGGGACATGGGGACTTAGTCGTCTTTGCTTGATTAGTCTTCATGATCAGGGTAGATCCTGAGAAGAATGTATCATCATAATTTAGGCCTGACTTCCTTTTTTGGCTCCAGGTGACTTCTTTTCATAGTCTGGGTTTTACCCCTTAGGCTCTTTTTCTGTTTTGTTGGCAAGATCTGGAATACAGCCCTTGTGTGTGTCCAGTCTGTGTTCCACTTGAAAACAGATCAGTTAACTTTGCCTTGGTGTATCTTCAAGGATGCAACCTGGGAGTAAGTATCTGGTTCCTGGCTGCTGGTTTTGGATTCATACCTGCTCATAGCCTGTGTGAGAAGTTGTGAGGATAGTAAATAAATTTGGGAGCAGGTGCTTTATTCATTTCCTCCAAGATACATTTGCAGTCCTTGAAAGGCGCATCTTTTGGGTCATTCCTTATCCTTTCTGTAACTGGGGGAAGTGTAAAGGCTGGTAGTCACCACTAGGAGTAATTCCTTCTTCTGCATTAATACTGCATACTATTTTCCTCAACTCGGGCTGTGCAAGTTCATGACTATCCAAAATCAGGCTTTCCTGCTGCTGTGCTCTGATGAGGCAGGCTGTATGGATTTTTGCTTTTATTTAGAGTGAAAGAATGGGAAAGCCTCAGATTGGGCTCCTGGCCAGAAAATGGATAGGGGTATATGAGAGTTCTGTGTTTGACTTACTACATTTTTTTGTGTAGTTTTTTAAGCAGGCTGTCTACTAATTGAGAGTCTTGAAACTTGCATCTGAGGGGACTGTCTGTGGAACTCATTGGTCAAGGAGCCTCCTTTGGGATGGTAGAGAAAGCTGAAAATTTGCTTGAATTGCTTGGGACTGACACCAAGTGACAGTGGATGTGGGGGTGGAGTGGGGTGAACTTTGTAACTGGGTCTGGTTTTTAGAAATTGTTTCCTTGTGAAAGTTTTGTGCATTTTGTCCCTTTGTAAACATTTGCCAAAGTGCTTTGACTTCTCAGGGAGTGCTGGTTAGCTGTTATTTGTAATTATGCTGATATGTAAGCTCCTGATAATATTTTGATACAAAGGACTCTGGGAAAGGTTTGAGGATTGTATTCCCCCCCCACCCCCATGCCTTTCTGTTCGGAGTGAAGGAAAAGGAGGTTTTTAAGTTAGGAATGTAGTAGAGGAGACTGGCTTTGGCTCTATAAATAGCTTGCTTATTTCTTGGTCTGGGAAAGGACATTTGATTGAGGTGTCTTACGTTGATTGGCGGGTCTTTGAAAAGCACAGAAGCTTGGCATTGCACAGGACAGCCAGTTCTGTTTTATTTCACAGGGGAAAAACTTAGTTGCTTGGTTCGAGGAGCTTAGATATGATTTGATTTGGAGAGTGAAAATCTCCATAGCAACAGCAGATTGTAACCACTCTCCACAGTTAAATTTTATTGGGTGTTAAAGGATGAAGTATCAAGAGTTGCTGACAGCTTTAGGAACCAGTCAAATTTCAGAAGTCTGAAAGGCAGAAGAGGAAACTGTTTCTTATGTTGTGGGTGGCCATTCTTTCCTTCTATGTATAGCTCTGTAGTTTCACATTAGAAATTTTTATTCTTCTGAGAATAGGAAAACTCATGTTTCCAGATTCTCTTAAATTGGATACTGGAGGAATTGTGATGCTGGATCATTAGGCGATCTCTGTACATCATTGCCTGGTAGTCCCTTTAAATGAGATGAATTACCTTCAGAGGTCGGTTTCCTTGAACTAACTCAATTCAGGCCACTGAGTCCCTGGAGTTTGCTAGTTCTTTGTTTGTTTTTTTAAATCATCCTAAGAGTAGTTGGGTTCCTGGGTATCTTTGATAGGGCTAGGCCTGGGTTTAGCTGCTCAGGGTTGGCTAGCCCTCATGTGTTTGAGTCAGCTGGACAACCTGTTCACACTTCCCTCCAGTATCAGGCTTAGAGACTTCCTGATATAAATTGGTTATAATTGTATTTCATGGTTTTCTTTTTGTCAGTTACATAGTTCATCTGTGTGGTCAGTTGAATTGTTACCTATGAAATTTCAGTTTCAGGTTTCAGAAATTGGTCTCTAAATAAAACCTAGCTAAGTAGGGAATAGACAATGTGATGTCCTATTGCTCTTGTAAACCCGTTGAAACATTTTTGTTGGGTGTTTTTTTCCCTAGCTTAATATAGTCCTAGGAATTTGTGGATAGGTTAACCAGGAATATAGTATGATTCCTTTGTAATGCCTGGAGGCCTTTTTTTTTTTTTGATAATTCCCTTTAATCTGCCTACAAACTTGCTTTCTCCTTACCATTGCATTCTCCTGGTGGTAGGCTCAACTCAGTCTTTCCTTTTGAAGAGATCTGGGACCACCAGCATTGATTTTTAGCTCACTCTACCCAGAGTGGGGAGAAGGCAGTGGCACCCCACTCCAGTACTCTTGCCTGGAATATCCCATGGATGGAGGAGCCTGGTAGGCTGCAGTCCATGGGGTCGAAAAGAGTTGGACATGGCTGAGCGACTTCACTTTCACTTCACTTTGATGCATTGGAGAAGGAAATGGCAACCCACTCCAGTGTTGTTGCCTGGAGAATTCCAGGGACGGGGTCTCAGAGTCAGACACGACTGAAGTGACAGCAGTAGCAGTAGTGCCCAGAGTGGAGGTGAGCGGTCAGAGGACAGTTCTAGTGCCCTGTGGCTAGGGCTAAAGGAGCACTTTCACTTTTCACACTTGGTAGATGAAGAATCAGGTTCGGGTCCTGAGAGAGTGAAGACAGTTGTGATAGTGCATTTTGTTTATCATCTCTGGCAAGTTCCAAATTTGCGTTTACAAATGGCATTGTGTCTCTTGTGTTTTATTAGAAATGAAGGATCATATCCTGTAAGGAAATAAGTCTATGGTTTTTCCTATGCTTGAATAATTATCATGATTTTTATCATAGAGCTATTTGTACTTTTAGCTGTTGTTGTTCAGTCACTAATGTCTGACTCTTTGTGACCCCTGTGGGTTGTAACCCCAGGTTCTTCTGTCCGTGGGATTTCCCAGGCAAGAATACTGGAGTGGGTTGCCATTTTCTTCTCCATATTTATACTTTATAAGGCATTTTTATCATCTCATTTGAATCATTTGGGCTTGCCTGGTGGCTCAGATGGTAAAGAATCCACCTGTAATGCACGAGACCTGGGTTCAGTCCCTGGGTCAGGAAGATCCCCTGGAGAAGGAAATGGCAACCCACTCCAGTATTCTTGCCTGGAGAATTCCATGAACAGAGAGGATCCTGGCAGGCTGCAGTCCATGGGGTCGCAAAGAGTTGGACATGACTGAGTGCGTAAGCACATATGTTGAATCTTGTAACTCTGAGGTAGATAGGACAGATTGTCAGGGGGAGAAATAAATTTTAAGTTCTGTAAGAATGTAATAGCAAGTCAGTGATCTGAATTTTCAACTGAGGCTAAATTTTAGCAGCTAGTTCCAAGAATCCATTTGCCATACCACACTTCTGACTTCTACCTGTTGATTATATCTTTATTCTCACTTGTGTAAGAGTCACTTCAGTCGCGTTGCATTACATCCAGGAAAATGACTTGCTTTATAGGAGTAGCTAGAGAGTCAGTCCCAGTGTGAAAGTTTCTGAAAATTAAGACACTTGTTTAGAGGACATTTAACAGAATTTTTTTTAACAAGAATGGAACCTTAGTAATTTCATGTAGGTAATTTTTCATTTCCTAAAGTGATGCGAGAAAGATGGGGTTCTGATACTTGAACTTTAAAAGTAGCCTCAGGTCCAGGTGGTGGTAAGTACATGACCCGTGTTACCACGGGCATGACCTCATTGTTCATCAGATTCTGCTTGCACTATTGTGATTTGTGAGATTGGATTTGGACAAGAATTTCTTCCTGTTCCTTTGTCGAAGGTTTCCTGTTCTGTGTAGTAGATGAGTAGGACTTTGAGATCAACATCCGGTCTTAGAGCCTGTCCTCCCACAGCTCATTCAGATCCTGACTGAGGGCCTGAGGGATAACCTCTTAGCAGAGCCTGCTAGCTGCAGGAATTGCAGCTTCTTGCCATGAAGCTGAGAAACTAAATCTTTTCTCCGAACAGAAGCCCAAGGGGTAAGTGATGTCTCTTGATGAGTATCAGTGGAGAAGGTGATGTGGCCTACGAGTGGGGGATAGCTTGGGCCTGAACTGAGTAGGGCCTGGCTTGGGCTAGGCAGCTTAGTTTCCATTCCCACATTTCATTGGCTTACACAGGGTCCAGCGTCTCCCCTTCTCAGCTTAAGTGTTTAGTCTTAATACACAGTCATGCCTTGCACATTGCTTCTTAGGGGTATACTGGTGTCATGAAGCGGCGTGGAGAGCTGGGGTTCTGTTTCTGGCTGTCACAAGTGGATTTGGGGCAAGCCATGTAAATTCTTGAGTGTGTTTGCCCACCTGTAAATGGGGATAATGATCCTTTGCTCTGCCTGCCTCCTGGGATTGTTGTGAGGCCCAGATGGGATCTTGTGCATGGAAATGCTTCGAGAATTGGGAGGTACTGAGGGAAAGGGGAGATCATATTGGAGGACTGTCATAGACTGTGTATTGCTGTGTAGCTGTTATGCCTCAACTGAACCCTGGGCTGAGACATGGGTCATGTCCAGACATAAATGGTCATTTCCAGTGTTTTGAGAGTTAAGCCTCAAAGGTGAACAGAAGTGTTTGGTGGTCTTGGGTTAGAGAATACTGAATAATTGAGTGATCCAGGAATGCTTTCTGCTTTTTTGTCTGCGGATTTGTACTTAATAGGAGATGTGAAGATTTTTATTCTCTGTTGCAGTTCATCTTTGCTCTTTCTTCTCTGAGCAGGCAATTGGGTAAGGTGGCAGGGGAAATGGGGAGAACAGGAAGAAAAACATAGGCAAAGCTGACTATTTGGGACTGTCAGAAGCTTTGTTATATGGGAATCACATTTTATGATCTACTCCTGGAGAGGAGGGTTTGGAGGCCTGGAGGTAGCTGGAAACAGCTGGGTGCTGTTGGTGTGTCCAGTTTGGGACCCATCAGGTAGCATGCCCTGCCCCCCTAATTGCTAACCCTCTGTCTGCTGCTTTATCAGACTACGCGTTTGTTCACATGGAGAAGGAAGCAGATGCCAAAGCCGCCATCGCGCAGCTCAACGGCAAAGAAGTGAAGGGCAAGCGCATCAACGTGGAACTCTCAACCAAGGGTCAGAAGAAGGGGCCTGGCCTGGCTATCCAGTCTGGGGACAAGACCAAGAAACCAGGGGCTGGGGATACGGCATTCCCTGGAACTGGTGGCTTCTCTGCCACCTTCGACTACCAGCAGGCTTTTGGCAACAGCACTGGTGGCTTTGATGGGCAAGCCCGTCAGCCCACACCACCCTTCTTTGGTCGCGACCGCAGCCCCCTGCGCCGTTCACCTCCCCGAGCCTCGTATGTGGCTCCTCTGACGGCCCAGCCAGCCACCTACCGGGCCCAGCCCTCAGTGTCACTGGGCGCTGCCTACAGGGCCCAGCCTTCTGCCTCTTTGGGTGTCGGCTATCGGACTCAGCCCATGACAGCCCAGGCAGCCTCTTACCGCGCTCAGCCCTCTGTTTCCCTTGGGGCCCCATACAGGGGCCAGCTGGCTAGCCCTAGCTCCCAGTCGGCCGCAGCTTCCTCGCTTGGCCCATACGGTGGAGCCCAGCCCTCGGCCTCGGCCCTCTCCTCTTATGGGGGTCAGCCAGCTGCGGCTTCTTCGCTCAACTCCTATGGGGCTCAGGGCTCCTCCCTTGCCTCCTATGGTAACCAACCATCCTCTTACGGGGCGCAGGCTGCTTCTTCCTACGGGGTTCGTGCAGCTGCCTCCTCCTACAACACCCAGGGAGCAGCTAACTCCCTAGGCTCCTATGGGGCCCAGGCAGCCTCCTATGGGGCCCAGTCTGCAGCTTCATCACTAGCTTATGGGGCCCAGGCAGCTTCTTACAATGCCCAGCCTTCAGCCTCTTATAATGCCCAATCTGCCCCATATGCTGCACAGCAGGCTGCTTCCTATTCTTCCCAACCTGCTGCCTATGTGGCACAACCAGCTGCAGCTGCTGCTTACGCGAGCCAGCCAGCTGCCTATGCCGCACAAGCCACCACCCCGATGGCTGGGTCCTATGGGGCCCAGCCAGTTGTTCAGACCCAGCTGAATAGTTATGGGGCCCAAGCATCGATGGGCCTGTCAGGCTCCTATGGGGCTCAGTCAGCTGCTGCGGCCACCGGCTCCTATGGCGCTGCAGCTGCCTATGGGGCCCAACCTTCTGCCACCCTGGCAGCTCCTTACCGCACTCAGTCGTCAGCCTCATTGGCTGCTTCCTATGCTGCACAGCAGCATCCTCAGGCTGCTGCCTCCTACCGTGGCCAGCCGGGCAGTGCCTACGACGGGACAGGTCAGCCGTCTGCAGCCTACCTGTCCATGTCCCAGGGGGCCGTTGCCAACGCCAACAGCACCCCGCCGCCCTATGAGCGTACCCGCCTCTCCCCACCCCGGGCCAGCTACGACGATCCGTACAAAAAGGCTGTCGCCATGTCGAAAAGGTACTGTATGCCCCCCCGCCTCTGCCCCCAGCTGGGGCTCAGGGCAAGGGGCTGAGGTTGGCATGGGAGGGAAACTGGAGCCATCGGCCCCTCCCTTGGCCTTCTCTACTCCTGTGGGATGTCCAGAGGCCGGAGTGGGTGATGTCTGTGAACTTCCTGGTCACCAGGGTTCAGGTGGAGCTTCGTGCTCAGCCTGGGGTGGTACCAGCTAGTCAGGCTGGGAGAAGTGTCACCTGTCTAGGCTAGCCCAAGTGCTATTGGAGCTATGGCCTGCAAGATTGTGGCCTATAGCCTCTCCCACTGTCTCAAGGATCCTTAAGCCTGTTACATGGTTGTCCTGGCCTTTGGTGGGGGTGGGTTTGAAAGAGTAGTCCCTTTGGCACTCACTGGCTGAAGGCAGGGTGTATGTGGTGCGTCCACTCTTTGGGAAATTGGGGACCTTGCTTTCGTCCGCCGTTCTGTTGGTAAACAACCAAGGTCTTTTCTCTGCAGGGCCCAGGGGTGGGGATAATTTGTCTGTGGTTTGGGAATGTAGGCCAGCGTCCACCTTGGCCAGTTCAGAAGGGAGGGCTTCAGTGGTGGGCTTGGTTTCCCACAGTTGGACCAGGCTTGATTTCTCGCCCTGGATAAGGTGGTGAGCCTTCTGAAAAATCTTGTTTGTTGGAGACCAGTCTGATTACGCCCTCCCTGCCCCCATTGGCATTTCCCCAGTGCCCACCTGGAGCCCTCCCCTCGATTGTCTCATTCACCAACTGTCTTCTTCTCTCGACTAGGTATGGTTCCGACCGGCGTTTAGCCGAGCTCTCTGATTACCGCCGTTTATCAGAGTCGCAGCTTTCGTTCCGCCGCTCGCCGACAAAGTCCTCGCTGGATTACCGTCGCCTGCCCGATGCCCATTCTGATTACGCACGCTATTCGGGCTCCTATAATGATTACCTGCGGGCAGCTCAGATGCACTCTGGCTACCAGCGCCGCATGTAGGGCCGTCCTGGGATGGGGCACCACAGGGAGGGAAGGAGAGGAGAGATGGGGTGGGTGCAGACCCAGGTTATAACCGCTGGCCCACACCTCTCCCGTTGGCGGTTTTTCATTCCCTCTACCATGTGGGCCTTCCCCAGGAGACGATCCTTTTGAGTGTTTGGCAGTAACCTACTTTATTCCTTCGCCTCAGCAGCAAATCTTGCTACTGGCTCTAGATCTGCGGTTCCCCTCTCCCCTGCCCCATCTCCCTAGGATGGGAATCTCTTTTATGTTTTGATTTTTTTCCTGGCTCCCTTTTATTTTTGTGCGCGATATTTAAGGTCGTCTGGATGGGGAAGCAACCTGCAGCTGAGGTCGGCGGCGCCTTTTTCTTTTTAGATGTGAGGGAGGCCAGGAAAGGGTTAGCTTAACCATTTCCTATGCGCCAAGCTGTGCCAGGTGTCCAGGGGGCCCTGACTGTGTCCCTCTATAGACTGTGTTGAGACTGAGTTCCTGGGACAGTCAGTTGGTACATGTCCAGTCCCTACTGACCCCTGACGTTCTTGCTGACGCTCTGCGGCACAGTGCACTTCCCCATTTCCCCAAGTAGGTGGTGTTAGAAAACCTTAATTTTTTTTCCCTTTTGTATGGACTACAAATAAAACTTGGGGCGATTTGCAGTTTGGAAACCTGGTTGTCATTGTCTTGATTGCACTCAGTTTCAGAGAAGCCAGTTTGACATCCAGGAATACATGACAGCCAAAGGGAAGGTGACCAGAGGACCCAGGGCAGATGAGGAAAGGGGTCTGAATGTGGGAATTAGAATGATTTCCCTGCTGCCAGAGGGATTTAACGCCTCGTCTCTCTGCTAGTCTGCCATCTTAAGGACTGGAGAATCTGGACAAAGTTGCTTCGACTTTGGGTTAATCACACCAGAACGCAGCAAATTTATTGCCCGTTTTCCTCGCCCATGCTTGGCTGTTTTCCTTGACTTGTCTCCAGTTCAGAAACAACCTAGGCTCCAGCAGGGTGGTTCTGGGGTTTGACTTCTCAAGTGAGAAGTGGGGAATGGGTGCTTTGGTGCTTAGAAGCCTAGTAGGGCCTTCAGGCAGTGGGCTCCAGTGAGTACTGGGGCTGGGACCTGGAAAGGGGTCGGTTGGGTTCGGGGGGTCACGTTAACTGTGTGGCAGTGTCTCTGTGGTTGGGACATTTGGAAGCCAGTATGGGGGGATTCTGGCCATAGACCTGGTATTTTGCCTGTTGATCATCATCCTGGCGCGTCCTGCCTGCGTCCTGCCAACCCCTACCATCATAGTCACCGGCGACTGCAAATTCCTTCTCTCCATCTGTTAGGGTTTCCAGATGTTTTCTGGCTGGGTTTATATTTGAAGGTGTTACGGTAGACCATGGGAAGGGGGCAAGGTGCAAGCATAACTAAGTAGATGCTGGGATAGGGTGAGGAATTGATTCTTTCTATACTTTTATTCTGGGACTAGGGGTTCAGAGGACCTGGGCACAAAATAAGATGATTCTAGCCATGACAGGATGGAGGCTTGGGCTTTCTGATGGGTGAATGGAAGACTGGCTGGGTAGGGTGGTAACAGGAAACCTAACATGCCTTTGGGAAGGGGGCTTTAGAAATTTGATTTGGGAGTCTTTCTGGGCAAGGTGATTTTGGGGAGGTGTGTGTCAAGTGGAGTTCAGGTTGGTTCTCTTCTGCCTCCACTGGTTTCTTGTGAACTTTTTTTTAACAGCTGTCTTCTTGTGAACTTGATGTACACAATAGTTTGCCCCAGGTGTTCGCTTCCCTCTGCCCAGTGGGCAGAAAGCACATGCTTTGTGTTAAGCATGAACTACTTGTGGACGTAAACTGGAGTAATCTCGGGTGCTGAGGCCATGGCTCTCTTCCTTTTCTTTCTGCTCACTGCTTTGCTGCTCCTTTCCATTTCTTTTAAGGACTGGGAGGAGGGGGAATCCAATAGGCTTCTTGTCACTTTTCTGCAGTGAGTGGGGTTATCACAGGGCCAACCTAACAAACTTAGCTCTGGTTATTTCCCTGGAAAATCAAGGGTTGTTAATTGTAGTGCTGTGATTGTGGCCTGTGTATTTATAATTACTTCTTTGTCAGCGTGACTTTCTGTCATCTTTCTCTCCAGTGAGCGTTCAGCCACTGTCCCAGTCCCACAGTTCGTGTGAAAAATAGCTTAATGTGCTCTCAGGGCCAGTGTTGATATTTCTTTATTACAGCGTAAGTTCTTCAGAGCGACCTGACCGAGATGATCACTCAACTTGTCATCTCTAGGTACTGATACCCTTGCTGCCTCTGCTGGCAGGCTAATGGTTTAAGCTTTGAGGAGCTCTGAAGCCAAACCACTTGTCATTTTCCTCTTCCTCGCAGATTGTTTCAGAATTCTCTTCCCCTTTTTTATTTAAATTATGCTACCTGTGTTAATCCTATAGCCCGCTTCTCCTACTTCACTTTTTGTGGATTTCTGATTTCCAGGGTCCTATAACTTGAAGACGGTTGGGTTGAGTGAATGGGAGGATAGACATTTAATGTGTTTTGGGAAAAGGGGGTGGGAATATGGGCTCACAATATCCTTCAGGTCTTTGCACTTCTGATCTATCAGCTCTAACTTGACCTTCATTGGAGAAGTTTTAAATGATTTATTCCTGGAACAAGACTATAAAGTTTTCTCACCTCATCAGTCTGTTTTCTGAGGTTTGGACCTTGTTTCAGATTGTCTGGGGCGGGCCTGGGGCTGCTACCCTTGTACTGGAGGTAACGGAACTCACTGAGTGGTCAGCCTCTCTAGGTAGGCTGCCTATCTAGTCATTGTCCCTTAGTTAAGCTCTGCCAAAGTCTGTTGGTTCCAGTCATTTTGTCCTATTAAGCCAAGTAGGTTGAAAATAAATTTCCTAGATCTATGGACAAGTATGTAATATATTTAATAGGAGGTTTGGGTAATAAAGATAAGATGGATAGGATAGGTGGAAAATTCTTACCTTAATTCTTTATATAGATGCCTTTAAAAGATCATTAAGGGTAGAATCTAGTTTTCCAGGAAAAAAGTTCTTAGAATGACTTCAAGTCTATAAATCATTAGAAATAACGGTGTGTCTGTAGTGCTGGAAATAATTTTCGGGCAGCTGAGGTGAAATACAGTGATCACCCTTGGGCTGATCTTGGGCAATGGGTAGCCCAGGGGAGGCAGGACCTACCTTGATGAACTAGTTACATACAATTAGTAAGCAATGCCAGGGACTTCCGTGGCAGTCCAGTGGTTACACTGCGCTTCTGCTGCAGAGGGGTGGGGGAACTAAGATCCCCGTATGTCTTGTGAGGCAGAAGAAAAACTAATGCCAGGGAGGTCATAGGTAAAGGAGGAGAGAGGATGGTGCAGTCCCACTAGAGAAAACTGTGGAGCTAGAATTTGTTTGCTTTGAAACTGACTTGGCACAGAGAGAATTACTGAGGGTGCTGGCTCTAAAGTCAGACTTCCTGGGACTTCACTGGTGGTCCAGTAGTTAAAGAGTCTGTCTTGAAATGCAGGGGATGTGGGTTTGATTGATAGTTGGGAAAGTAAAATCCCACATGCTGTGGGACAACTAAGCCTGCATGCCCCAACTAGAGAGCCCATGCAACTCGACACAGCCAAATATTTTTAAAAGATCAGACTTCCTGAGTTTGGATCTTGGTTCTGCCACGTATCCATGTGGTCTTGGACATGTCAGGAATTCTGCCTCAGTATTTTCATCTATAAAATGGGGATAATAGCTCACATCTACTGAACATAACTTTATTGCAACTAAAATGTAATTAGGTACTTATAAAACTTTGATTAATTGGGAAATTGAGGGTGTAGGTTAAGTAACTTCACAAGGCTGAAAGGTAGTGGATCAAGGAATTGAATCCGCCATTTTGAGCCATACAGGATTTTGCTTATACTACTGCTGTTGGAAGGAGCAAATACATGTATCAGGTATAGGGCTTCATATATAGTCACTGCTAGCCATCTCAGAAATAAGGAGTTAGAACATTTTGGGGAGATTGGGATGGCCTACTGGAAGCACACAGCTGAGGAAAGGACTTTGGATATGGGTGTGAGTGCAGCATGTATGAGTAACAGTGAAGGAAATTTCTGTAGTAAGTGGTACCTAAGTGTGATGTAGGCCACTGGACCATACCAGTTTTGGTCACCTTTAGTTTCAGACAACACTGTTGTATCCTGGGGATCAGATTCTTCTAGGTATGGAGAAGAAAGGTATGGGGTAGGGGAGAGGTTCCCAGCCTCCAGGATCTAATGTCTGATGATCTGAAGTGGAGCTGATGTAATAATGATAGGAAAAAAGTGCACAGTGAGTGTATTGCACTTGAATCATCCTGAATCCATATCCACCCCCAGGCCGTGGTCTGTGGAAAAACTGTCTTCCATGAAACTGGTCCCTGGTGCCATAAAGGTTGGGAACCATGAAGATAGAGGACCTCCCCAGACATTAGTGGGAGGCGTAGAGGGCATCACCGACTGAATGGACATGAGTTTGAGTAAACTCTGGGAGGTGGTGATGGAACTGGGAGGCCTGGTGTGCTGCAGTTCATGGGGTTGCAAGGAGTTGGACATGACCGAGCAACTGAACTGAAACAAGAGGGTGTAGCTGGCAGTTGTGTTGGAGGCCTAGTGGCTCCCTCTGAACACCCCCAGAGAATAAATTTCCCCCTGGCTTTTGAGCATCTGCCTGTTTTTAGTACTAAGTGTCCATGTTTTCAAGCTGATATTGACTAAAAATCCAAAGTTCCTTCTTTCCTCTTGGTTATCAAGAATTTAATTCATGCGTTCATTTATCCGTTTGTTAACAAATACTTGAGTGCTTGCCATGTACCAGGTGCAGTTTTAACACAGGATAAATATATTAGGAAGGAGAAGTATCTGCATACCCATTCTCTTAAAATGCCTAGTGCAGAAGGGCACACATTGTTTCTAAAATTCATTTTCCTTTGATGAGATTTATGCTCGGATGGT